TCAGTGGGCAGGGGGATTAGGGGACATGGGACACAGGGCAGGTGTCTGAGGGAGTCGCCGAGTGTGGACATGGCACCCCCAGGCCCTTCCCTGTTCCTGGGGTGCAGCGAGTGTGGGGAGCTCTGCTGCCAGCTTCCGAGGCGTGGCGGGACTTGGCTCGCAGGGACCTGGACCTGAGCTGTGCGGTTGCAAGGTAGTCGGGGCGCCAGACAGGGGGTCCCTGATCTCGTTACCTGCTTTCAGACCCTACAGGCAGACTGTCCCATCTGTCCTCGCCCTGCTTGGCTGCCTGGTTCATTTCTCACAAGGTTGTTCATTCACTCAGCAAACACCCGCTCTCCACCTTCTCCCTGCCAGAGCCCACAGGGTGAATTAGACCCAAGGGCTTCCAACTCACCAATGGCTGGAGAGTGCCTTGGACTGCAGGCATCACGGAAGGCTTCACGGAGGTGGTGACACCTCAATCAGGTCTTGGAGGAGGAAGAGGAGTTCCACAGGAAGACGGGCCTTGGAAACAGATGAAGTGTTCAGTGCTAAGGCAGCAAGCAGGGGCTTGCTGCGCCCAGGGCGGTGGAGTCAGGAGACCCCTGCGGGGTGGGGCCTTGAATGCCAGGGTTAGTTCTTCCGTCTCATCCTGAAGCCGTTGGGTGCAGAGGCCAAGGAAGCACCCAATCGGATTTGCTCTTCAGAGCAGGCAGAGGGAACCTCGGGCCAGTGGAGCAGCGCAGGGCTCTGCTGAGCCCCGGGGCTGCCCCCTGTCGTGAGCCCCATGGACAGGTGGGCACGTGAGTCTCGGGAGGAGGGGGGACGTGGGCAGGTCCCAATGCCGGAAAGTGACAGAGCCAGGACCCCAGGCCGGGTGCCCGCTGCGTGGACTCGCAGAGCTGCAGTGTCGGCAGGGCGTGGGGAGCCGCTGTGTCTGGAGGGAGGAGCATCAGCCGGCATCGCCGTCTCCGCGATGGCCGACGGTCTCCGGGAATCCATCAGATTTGTGGTCCACGTTCAGATGCTCCCGAAAAACACTGGTGTTTCAGGGTTTCGTTTATTAGCTGTATGAGTGTAATAAATTGGGCATTAAACAAATAAACCCATAAAAGGGAGAGGAGACGGAGACGTGTTCTCATAGCCTGGGACTCTTCATGGGAGAGAGGCTCTAAAAAGGCGCTTTCCACCTCCGTGGTCACAGGTGATCCCGCCAGGGAGAGACGTGGGGGTGGGGGGAACGACCTTCAGACCCGGCTTTGCGACCAGGCTCATGCTGCGTGGTGAGAACCTGGGGCGAACCAAACCCCTGCTGGGGGCAGACGGATGTGGGCGTGGTGCCCAGAAGGGGTACCGGGGGCACCGTGCCGGGAGGGGGTGTTTGGGCATCCGGGGTGACCTTGAATGAAGAACTTGCCCTTGCACCTTGGTGTGTTCATCTGTAGAACAGGGCCCCGGCGCTGTGGCACAGTGGGTGATGCCTGCATCCCATGAGGGCAGTGGTTCGAGTCCCAGCTGCTCCGCTTTGAATCCAGCTCCCTGCTGATGCGCCTGGGGAAGCAGCAGATGATGGCCCAAGGGCTTGGCCCCTGCCACCCACACGGGAGACTCAGATGGAGTTCCTGGCTCCTGGCTTCAGCCTGGCCCAGCCCTGGCCATTGCAGCCATTTGGGGAGTGAATCAGTGGATGGAAGATCTCTATCTCCCCCCCCACCCCGCCTTTCTCTGTCACTCTGGCTTTCGAATAAATAAAATAAATCTTTTTAAAAGGACGGGTAGAAAGGGCATCTCCTTGCAGGCTCCTGTGAGGATTTGCCAAGGTGATGCTGCTGCCTGAGGACAGAGCATTGCCGGGGCTCACTCGTGGTAACGAGCCAGGTGACCGAGCCAGGAACGGCCCGGCACACCGGAGGGCTGGCCCAGGACCCAGGGTGGTCAGGCAGGCAGGCGAGGCTGGGACCAGTGCATCCACGAGGCTGCTCCGGGCAGCCGGGAAGAGTGGCAGGTGTTTGGGGAGGGCCTTCCTGGCCACCGGAGGCTTCAAGTGCATCCTCGCAGCAAGCTCACCGCCAGGTGTGACGGTCGCCTACTCACAGACCAGGACTCAGACCGCGACAGGCTAAGTGTCCTGCCCAGAGCCAGCGGAACCAGGATGCAGGCCCAGGCTGTGGCCCTGTGCCCGCCACTCCATGCTGTGTCTTTCTGCTGAGAGGTGGGCGGTGTGGTCAAGCCCATTAGAGAAGTAAGCTGAGGGCCGGAAAGCCGAAATCGCTTGCCCAGTCACCAGCCTGCCGGCAGCGGAGCCAGGCTGGAAGCCCAGGTCTGTCCGAGCCCGGGGCCACCTGCCCGTGGCTGGGCCTGCTTCTCGGCCCTGCTGGTGCCCCCGGCCCCTCCCGCGCCCCATTAGCAGTGCTCAGCCTGTGCCGGTAGACAAAGGCAAGCCCGTGGCTGGGAGTGAGTATTTCACGCGTCCCCCCTGGTGTTTTATTGGGCAGAGAGATGCTCAGAGACCCAGCGGATGGCACATTCTGTTTATAAAGTGCACGCCGTTTGTTTTATTTCCAGGGTTTTTGCAATCTAGATAACAGATGACGCCCCGAGCGGCTGGCGCTGCCTCTAACGGCGGCCAGGAGCCTTTGGAGGAGTATTAATAATAGATTGTGTTGATGACTTTGGAGAAAGTAGCAATCGACCCCCTGCTGCGAAGGCATTAGCGTGGCTGTTCCCGGCACAGGCTGCGAGGTCGGTGTCAGCCACCAATGCAGGTCAGCCTCGCCGCTGCTGCCCCCACCCCCACGTGCAAGGCCGCCTGGCTGCCCGGCTGGAGGAGGAGTGGCCCAGAGGCCAGGCTGCAGGCCTCGGCTGGGCTGCGTGGGGAGGGGGCATGGGGGCCACAGTGCGGGACACTCCTGCAAACCCAGGGACCTCTACGTGAGGCGGCCGCGGACGGTTGGGCAGGTTGCATCCGGTGAAAGGGTCAGCCCAGACCTGAAATCCAACCCACGTTACCCCTGCCAAGCCATGTGTTGTGTGGGCTCCTGGCTGGCCTGCTCCTCACGCACTCACCGAGGCCTTGGGGATCAAGTGGAGCCAGGTCCCACCTGTGGAACCCCGGGCAGCACTGGGTGCCCGAGGTGCATGTGTTGTCACCCCTCCCCCAGCTCTCCACCCTGGGTCATCACTTCCTGGAGACATTCCCCCTTCTACGGCCTGGTGAGCTGACACTGGATGAAAGCTCAGGGGTGCATAGGGGTGGCCCCCCTCCCCCAGACTGGGGCATCAGAGAAGGCTTCCTGGAGGAGGTGGTGTTGGAGTTGGGCACTGCGGGATGAGTAGGAGCCTGCTGGGTAGAATAGAGAGGGGGTGCCCTGGCCAGTGCCAGGGCAGCAGGCAGAGCTGGAACTGGGCCTGTCCACCGCACCCCAGCCGCTCGCTGTGGGCGGTGCTGATGGCAGCCGCGGGCAGGGGGGCGGCCAGCGCGCCTGCGCAGCTCCAGAACCGATTAGCAGAGAATTGCAGCTGTAATCTGCGCCCGTGGTGGTAGGCTGTAAAGAGGGCTGGGACATGCACAGCGCTCCCAAGGTGGCGCCCGCAGACGTGGCCCGGGGACGCGGCGGATGAAAAATGGTTTTAATTCCCTCCCAGCAGCAATAATTTGATTCTTCATAAATTTTTCCATCAAAGTGTTGTTGAGGCTGAGTTCCCACAGAGCAGGGCACGTGACGGGGTTGCGGGGTGCTGGGCGGAGGAGACGGCCCTCCCGCATGCGCCTGCGCCCAACTCCGACGCCCTGGGCTTGTCTCCTGGGGTGGGAGGTGAGACCACGCCGTCGAGGCTGGGCCGGCGTTGACTGCCCCCTGGGCCTGGGCCAGCGCCTCAGTCTCCTTGTCCTAAAATGGGGTGGATGCTCACTCTCATCTCCCAAGATCGTGGCAGGGACAGAAAGCGTTCTGCCCCTGAATTGCCCAGAGCCGGCTGCACGTGCGCAGTCACATCAGGGCCAGTGGTCACGTGGCAGCTGAAGGGCGGGGGGCTTACGGAGGCGCCAGCCCACCCCAGGGGCAAGGGAACGGGGCACGGAGAGGTCCCTGCAGACTGCTCCGTGGGGGCTGCAGCCTGGGGGAGCAGAAGGTGCCGAGGGAGGGGCCTTGAGTGCCAGGCGTGGGAGCCTGCATGGTCTCTGGCAGCACTGGGGAGCCATGGGAGAGGCTGGCGCAGGGGAGCAGCATTGTGAGATGCGAATTTGGAGAGATGCCCTGGGCCTCTGCGGGATGGGCGTGGGAGGCTGAAGGGGTGGAGGGGCTGGGAGCCCAGGGAGCGGGGCGCTGCTTGGAAGTGGGGGTGCGGGAGGAGGAAGAGCCCTCTCACGGACAGGGGAGGCTGGTGGTGTCCTGCACACTGCCCTCTGGTGGCCACCGTGGCTATGAGCGGCGCCCCTAGGAGAGGGGCCCCAGTGGGCAGCCTGGAGCGGCAGCTGCCCCCGGAGGACCCCTCGCCCAGCCCCGACCCGCGCCGCTCTGTGCCCCGCAGGCTCTTCGCGGCCAAGTGCAGCGGCTGCATGGAGAAGATCGCGCCCACGGAGTTCGTGATGCGGGCGCTGGAGTGCGTGTACCACCTGGGCTGCTTCTGCTGCTGCGTGTGCGAGCGGCAGCTGCGCAAGGGTGACGAGTTCGTGCTGAAGGAGGGCCAGCTGCTGTGCAAGGGCGACTACGAGAAGGAGAAGGACCTGCTCAGCTCCGTGAGCCCCGACGAGTCTGACTCCGGTGAGCCCCGGCCCGCGCCGGCCGCAGCCACACCAGCGGGGTGCCCGCTGGACCTGCCCGTGATCACACACGTGCACACCCCCAGGTGTGTGATGTGCACACGAACCCAAGCGTGCAAAAGCCCCTACTAAGGTGCACACGCACGCACACGCAAGACTCGGTACGCGTACAGCTGCACGCGTGTTTGTGCACATCCTCAGTGCACCGTGGCTTGTGCTGTACACACGCACGCATGCACGCACATGCACAGGTAGCCGACGCCCTGGTTGCTGGGAGTAGGGGGGAGTGGCCTGAGCTGGGAGCAGGGAAAGGAGGTGTCCTTAGGGTCCCCCAGAGCCACTCGGTCACAGGAGCCTGCCCACACGGGAAGGTTTGTCACAGCCAGGGCCCGCGGTGGAGGTGGTGGGCGGTGTCTGCCTGTCCCCGTCTCTCCCCGGACAGGGATGCACCATGACGGTGCTGCGGCTGCCTGGACCCCTCTGGGCCAGCAGAGGCCCAGGTGCCCCTGGCCGGTTCAGCCCGGGCCTAGGAAAGGGAGGGGACCGGCCCCTCCAAAGGGCTCGCACCCTGAGGACAGGAACAGACAGAGGCAGTCAGTTCAGACGCGGGCAGGTGGGGAGACTTGGCCATCCTCTGGGCTGGCACCTCTGAGACCCTGGACTCCAGGGCGTGGAAGTGCTGTGTGCACCTGGTGGGGGTGGGGTGTCGCTGGTTGGATACACCTGCTGCATGGCCGTGTGTGAGCCTGTGTGTGCATGTGTGTGTGAGAGCACTCTGTGAGCTGTGTGTGTAACTGCATGTGTGTGTGAGAGCACTCTGAGTGCACATATGTGAGAGCACTCTATGAGCTGTGTGTATAACTGTGCATGTGTGAGAGCACTCTGTGAGCTGTGTGTGTGCACGTGTGTGAGAGCACTCTGAGCTGTGTGTGTGCACGTGTGTGTGAGAGCACTCTGTGAGCTGTGTGTGTGCACGTGTGTGTGAGAGCACTCTGTAAGCTGTGTGTGTGAGTGCACTGTGTGTGTGAGAGCACTCTGTGAGCTGTGTGTGTGTGCACGTATGTGAGAGAGCACTCTGTGAGCTGTGTGTGTGCACGTGAGAGAGCACTCTGAGCTGTGTGTGTGCACGTGTGTGTGAGAGCACTCTGTGAGCTGTGTGTGTGCATGTGTGTGTGAGAGCACTCTGTGAGCTGTGTGTGTAACTGCATGTGTGTGTGAGTGCACTCTGCGTACATGCGTGTGTGAATGCGCTGTGCATGTGAGTGCACTCTGCGTGTGCATGCGTGTGTGAATGCACTCTGTGAGCTGTGTGCATGTGCATGTGTGTGTGAGTGCACTGTGCGTTCATGTGTGTGTGAGAGCACTCTGTGAGCTGTGTGTGTGTGGATGTGTGTGTGAGAGCACTCTGTGAGCTGTGTGTGTGAGTGCACTGTGTGTGTGAGAGCACTCTGTGAGCTGTGTGTGTGTGCACGTGTGTGAGAGCACTCTGTGAGCTGTGTGTGTGGATGTGTGTGTGAGAGCACTCTGAGCTGTGTGTGTCTGTGTGCATGTGTGTGAGAGCACTCTGTGAGCTGTGTGTGCATGTGTGTGTGAGAGCACTCTGTGAGCTGTGTGTGTGCATGTGTGTGTGAGAGCACTCTGTGAGCTGTGTGTGTGCACGTGTGTGTGAGAGCACTCTGAGCTGTGTGTGCATGTGTGTGTGAGTGCACTCTGCGTACATGCGTGTGTGAATGCGCTGTGCATGTGAGTACACTCTGCGTGTGCATGCGTGTGTGAATGCACTCTGTGAGCTGTGTGCATGTGCATGTGTGTGTGAGTGCACTGTGCGTTCATGTGTGTGTGAGAGCACTCTGTGAGCTGTGTGTGTAACTGCATGTGTGTGTGAGGGTACTCTGAGTGTGCATGTGTGAGAGCACTCTGTGAGCTGTGTGTGTGTGGATGTGTGTGTGAGAGCACTCTGTGAGCTGTGTGTGTGAGTGCACTGTGTGTGAGAGCACTCTGTGAGCTGTGTGTGTGAGTGCACTGTGTGTGTGAGAGCACTCTGTGAGCTGTGTGTGTGTGCACGTGTGTGAGAGCACTCTGTGAGCTGTGTGTGGATGTGTGTGAGAGCACTCTGTGAGCTGTGTGTGTGAGTGCACTGTGTGTGTGAGAGCACTCTGTGAGCTGTGTGTGTAACTGCATGTGTGTGTGAGAGCACTCTGTGAGCTGTGTGTGTGCACGTGTGTGAGAGCACTCTGAGCTGTGTGTGTCTGTGTGCATGTGTGTGAGAGCACTCTGTGAGCTGTGTGTGCATGTGTGTGTGAGAGCACTCTGTGAGCTGTGTGTGTGAGTGCACTGTGTGTGTGAGAGCACTCTGTGAGCTGTGTGTGTAACTGCATGTGTGTGTGAGAGCACTCTGTGAGCTGTGTGAGTGCACTGTGTGTGTGAGAGCACTCTGTGAGCTGTGTGTGTGTGCACGTGTGTGAGAGCACTCTGTGAGCTGTGTGTGTGTGGATGTGTGTGAGAGAGCACTCTGTGAGCTGTGTGTGTGAGTGCACTGTGTGTGTGAGAGCACTCTGTGAGCTGTGTGTGTAACTGTGCATGTGTGAGAGCACTCTGTGAGCTGTGTGTGCACGTGTGTGTGAGAGCACTCTGTGAGCTGTGTGTGTGCACGTGTGTGAGAGCACTCTGAGCTGTGTGTGTGCATGTGTGTGAGAGCACTCTGTGAGCTGTGTGTGTGCACGTGTGTGTGAGTGCACTGTGTGTGTGAATGCACTCTGAGCTGTGTGTGTGCATGTGTGTGTGAGGGCACTCTGTGAGCTGTGTGTGTAACTCTGTGCATGTGTGTGAGAGCACTCTGTGAGCTGTGTGTGTAACTGTGTGCATGTGTGTGTGAGGGTACTCCGTGAGCTGTCTGTGTAACTGTGTGCATGTGTGTGAGTGCACTCTGTGAGCTGTGTGTGAGAGCACTCTGAGCTGTGTGTGTGCATGTGTGTGAGTGCACTGAGTGTGCATTTGTGTGTGAGAGCACTCTGAGCTGTGTGTCTGTGTGCATGTGTGTGTGAGAGCACTGTGTGTGCATGTGTGTGTGAGAGCACTCTGTGAGCTGTGTGTGCACGTGTGTATGAGTGCACTGTGTGTGTGAATGCACTCTGAGCTGTGTGTGTGCATGTGTGTGTGAGGGCACTCTGTGAGCTGTGTGTGAGAGCACTCTGAGCTGTGTGTGTCTGTGTGCATGTGTGTGTGAGAGCACTCTGTGAGCTGTCTGTGCTCCTGTGTGTGAGTGCACTCTCTGTGTGTGTTTCCGTGTGTGCATGTGTGTGAGTGCACTCTGCGTGTGCATGTGTGTGTGAGTACACTCTGTGGCCTGCCTGTTTGTGCCTCTGTGTGCATGTGTATGAGAGAGCATTCTGAGCTGTCTATACCTCTGTGTGTGCATGTGTGTGTGAGTGCACTCTGCGTGTGCATGCGTGTGTGAATGCACTCTGTGAGCTGTGTGCATGTGTGTGTGAGTGCACTCTGCGTGTGCATGTGTGTGTGAGTGCACTCTGCGTGTGCATGCGTGTGTGAATGCACTCTGAGCTGTGTGCATGTGCACGTGTGTGAGTGCACTCTGCGTACATACGTGTGTGAATGCACTGAGCTGTGTGCATGTGTGTGTGAGTGCACTCTGCGTACATGTGTGTGAATGCACTCTGAGCTGTGTGCATGTGTGTGAGTGCACTGCGTGTGCATGCGTGTGTGAATGCACTCTGTGAACTGTGTGCATGTGTGTGTGAGTGCACTGTGTGTGCATGTGTGTGTGAGAGCGCTCTGTGAGCTGTCTGTGCTCCTGTGTGTGCACGTGTGTGAGAGAGCACTCAGCTGTGTGGGTATGCATGTGTGTGAGTGCACTCTGTGGGCTGTCTGCACGCACTCAGACCTTTGCAGACCCACGTTCCAATCTGCATTTGCACGTAGATCAGTGTGTGCTGTGTGCGTGCCCACACATGTGCCCGCTGTGGTCGCTCACACTCCTGTGTGTGAGGGCCTGGTGCGTGTGTCTTTGCTGTCAGTTCCCAGTCCCTGGAGCCCCAGAGTGGAAGGTTCCTTGCATTCTTGGGACTCTGGAGCCTGGCTGGCATGGGGCCGGCGCAGTGGGAGCTGGCTTTCTGGAAGGCTGGCTGGTGTGCTGTGCTGTGTCCCAGACAAGGAGCGTCCCAGACAGGCTGGCTTTGGGGAAACCCAGGGCCAGGGTGGCCTCAGCCCTCATCCGGGGCTCCATCAGTCCTTAGGAAGCCAGCAGACTGGCCTTGAGGGAGTGGGTGTCGTGGGCCTGCATACCTGTGCTGGCCTGGGCCTTCCTGAGTGTACACGCCCACAAGTGCCTGTGGGTGCTGTGACAGCGTGTGCCTGCCCCTGCGTGGGCCTGCAGCCTGGGAAGGGGACGCTTTGCACACCAGGGCACAGGAGCAGAGGCGAGCAGAGCCTGTGGGGAGGGGCCCTGGGGAGGCACAGCAGGTGTCAGCCACAGGGGGCGGGGTGGGCAGGGCAGAAGGTTGGGACCTGGGACCACCCTCAGCCCTCCGTGACAAGCCGAGTTGTGTCCCCACAGTGAAGAGTGAGGACGAGGACGGGGACATGAAGCCAGCCAAGGGGCAGGGCGGCCAGAGCAAGGGCAGCGGGGATGACGGCAAGGACCCGCGGAGGCCCAAGCGACCGCGGACCATCCTCACCACGCAGCAGCGGCGAGCCTTCAAGGCCTCCTTCGAGGTGTCCTCCAAGCCCTGTCGGAAGGTGAGGTGCGGCTGGAGTGGGACGGGCAGACCCCACCCCTGCGGCTGCCCACACCACCTGCTGTCCTGCTGGCGGGGGGCAGGGGACTGGGCGGGGCAGCCCTGCCCCTCGGGGTCTGACCCGTCCCGCTCTCTCCGGCCCAGGTCCGAGAGACCCTGGCGGCTGAGACGGGCCTCAGCGTGCGTGTGGTGCAGGTGTGGTTTCAGAACCAAAGAGCTAAGGTGAGAGGCCCCTCCCACCCCCGCTGGCCCAGGGCAGGGCTAACAGCACAGGGCCACGCATGTGGAGGGGCCGGGAGCGGATGGGGCGGGGGTGGGGTGGGGAGGAGGGCCTGGTGTGGGGGCAGGGGCTGGACGGGGCAGAGCCGGGCCGGGGTGACCTGTGCTGCTCCCCGGCAGATGAAGAAGCTGGCGCGGCGGCACCAGCAGCAGCAGGAGCAGCAGAACTCCCAGCGGCTGGGCCAAGGTGAGCCTGCACCCCAGGGCCGCGGACAGAGGGGCCGGGCCGTGTCTGGTAGCGAGACTCCCAGGAAGCCTCCCGCCAGGGCAAGCGGAGCCCGGGACCCCTGTGGCCTGCAAGCGCCACGCTGAGATGTGGAGAAGCGATGGGACCAGCGGTGGGGACCACGGGGCGCGGTCGGGGAGCAGGAGACGGCAGGGCGGCCCGTGGGGGCGGGGGCAGGACTTCTGCAGTCAGAACGGCGCTGTGTTCCCAGCTCACGGGTGCACGGGGCTGCTCCCGGCGTTGCTCTCGCTTGGTCTCGCTCCCTTCCCAGAGGTCCCCTGTGGAGGGGTGGGGGAGTTCGTCCTGTGCCCTGTCTCAGCTGCGCTTGTGCCTGCCGTGGGCAGACAGGCTGTTGAGGACTCCAAGGTGAGCTCCTGCTGGATGGTGAGGGGCCAAAGGCCAGGCCACCCTGCCCCGGGCTTTGTCAAATGCTGTCTCCACTTGCGTTGGCCAGGGCCGACCCCCAGCCTCCCACGGGCCACAGAGCCCTCATGGTTGTAAAGGAAGTAGGTGGGGCCCAGAGCTACCTGCTCCAGCTGAGAGGGAGGCTCCTGGGGCTCAGGGCACGCTGGGAAGTGCCTTCTGTTCAGGCCAGGCCCAAGGCCCCAGCGCTTCCTGTCTCCTGTCCACCCCCTCCTGGGGCTGTAGCCACTGCCTTGGGTCCCAGCAGCTCCAAGCTGTGCTTTGCCCTGCAGCCCCGCCCTGGACACAGCCCCCGACCCGTGCTCACATAGCCCACACATGCTCCACATCACTGCCACGTGCATGCAGCACGCCAGCCCCACCCCCCACCTGAGCCAGGAGCCCTGCAGCCCTCCCTGTGGAGGCTCAGTGGCTAGTCAGGGAGGGGCTTCTCATTTGCAGCCCCGCGCCCCACAGCTGCCCTAGCGGGGACCCTCCTGTCTGCCGGCAGCCTCAGGGGGACCCCCTGACTCGGCTCAGCCCCTGAAGTAACCACACGACCGGCTGGTCCTCTCCCCACGCCGCCACGGGGCTGGGCCGAATGATCCCCCCACGGCGTCTCTGTGCCTTGGCCACCTGTCGCCTCCCTGGCTGGTCCTTGAAGCCACACTGAGCTGGCCCCTTTCCTCCAGGAAGCCCTCCCAGGCCTCTCTGGCCCGGGTTCTGCTCCCTGAGGCCGTCACCACTGCCTGCCCCGGTGTCTGCTCCCGGGAGGGCCCCAGCTCCTGGAGGGCCGGGCGGTTGGGGGTTGGGGAAGGCGGGGTGGGCTTTGGATGACGCTGATTCTGGACAAGGAGCCGGGCAGCCGCAGCCAGCGTGAGCAGGAGGGACTCCCGGGGGACACCTGTGGGGCCCCCCTGGGGCTGCCAGGGCCGGTGTGTGAAGGCGTGGCCTGTCTCCAGAGGTCCTGTCCAGCCGCATGGAGGGCATGATGGCCTCCTACACACCGCTGGCCCCGCCGCAGCAGCAGATCGTGGCCATGGAGCAGAGCCCCTACGGCAGCAGCGACCCCTTCCAGCAGGGCCTCACGCCGCCCCAAATGCCAGGTGAGCCCATGAGCCCCCACAGTGAGCCACCCCCGCACTGCCCCTCCCCCTGCCCACCCGCCTCCTCCTGCTGGGAGGGCCCCAGTGCTGACGTCCCTTCTCCCCCTCCGGCCCCAGGGAGCGACTCCATCTTCCACGACATCGACAGCGATACCTCCTTAACCAGCCTCAGCGACTGCTTCCTGGGCTCCTCGGACGTGGGCTCCCTGCAGGCGCGCGTGGGGAACCCCATCGACCGGCTCTACTCCATGCAGAGTTCTTACTTCGCCTCCTGAGAGCCGGCCAGGGCGCAAGGACGCTAGGGTGCAGGGCCAGGGGCCGGCGGGCCTCAGCAGCAGCCGCCTGGACATCCGCTACAGACAGCCATACGGGGCCCTGCCCGCGGCCAGCCGGGCCTGGCCAGACAGGCAGCCGGGTGCAGCCTGGGCGGGGGCTTGGGCTGCCCGCAGGGACCTTGCTCTCCACAGCCGCTCTTCTCGCCTCCCAGCCCCGCCCCGGCCCCATTGCCTCCTCCCTCCCCGTCTCTTTTTTGGGAAGCTTAAATTCTCTCTATTTTTTTAAATGTCCTCTCTGTGTCCAGCCAACCTCCCCGCACGGGCCCCAGGACGCCGATGCTGGGGCACAGTGCCCGTTAATCCGCGAAGCCAGCGCTCCCGTATCCTGCGCCAGTGCCCACCTCCCTCCAGCTGGCCCAGGGTCGCCCCTGCCGGTCTGAGCCTTGGAGCAGAAATAGCCAAGAGCCCGGCAGGTGTGCCAGGCTCACCATGTTTTGCCAGAAACAGGGTCACCGGCAGCTTGCAGGGGGAGGGTGCTGTGGCCAGAGCCAGGCAGACCCAGAGGGACAGACGCACACACAAGGCACGCACACAGGCAGAGCGGGGCAAATACGCACACAGATCCTAGCGACGCTGCGAGAGGCAGAGGGAGAGTGGGCGCCCAAGGGGAGCAGGGACCCCCGTCTTCTTAGAGCAGTTAGAGAAGGCGGGGTGAGCATGCAGGGCAGCCCTAGCCAGTACTGTAGCAGCCCAGAGGGAGGCCCCGCCCTCCCCCGAGCCAGGTGGGGTCAGGCCAGTGGCAGAACCTCTGGGTGGAGGGGACCTCGGGGTTCACCTGTGCAGCACCCCGGCTAATGTCCGGCTCCCTCCCGGGCCACCCCCAGCCAGCTGCCCCTTCCTGCCGGCCGTGCCTCGGCCTCTCTCAGCCCTGAGTCTCAAAGTCACTGTCTCCTCCAGCCCTTCCTGGCAAAACCACACTCCTCGCTGGGCTCTGGCTTTCCCCGAAAGGTGTGGGACGGCCAGGGCCGCCACTCCGCCTGCCGGTGGACACCAGCCAGCCAGGCCTGCCTCTGCTCATGCACATCTGGCCTTGGGAAGCCTCCCCGCCCGTCTGCGGCCCCCCGGCCCCCACGCACAAGTGACAGCTAAGCCACCGCCCTTCTCTGTGTGTGTGTGGGGGGGGGCGGTGCACCTGCTGGCACACCCCAGAAGAACCCTGCCTTTTCCTGGGTCCCAGCTCCTCTTGTGAGAGTGGGTTCAAATCTGCGGCTCTCCCAGCACACGCGCCTGTCAGGGGTGTGGGCCTGGGGCCCGCTGCGTTCCCACCGCACCCCCGCCCCGCCCTGTCCCTGTCCCTGCAGGTGGCAGAGGTGTGTGTTGGGTGCCCTGCCCTGTAAGCCAGACACACCCATCTACCCTCCCTATGCAGCCAAGCTGATGGCCCCATGGCCCTCAAAGCTGAGGGGCATAGGCCACGCCCCTGGGCTCTGCCTGGCCCACCTTTGAGCAGAAGCGACGGGGTGTCTCCCTCCACCTCCGGACCCCTCTCGGTGTCTAGGGAGCCCGCGGCCCCTCCGGAGCGCCCCGGGCCAGTCCCAGCTCTCAGCCCTCACCCTGCTCCTCCCCAGGCAGGGTTGCCCCCGGGCCTCTGTGTTCCTCATGTCCCAGACAGAACTTGGCCGAAGCCCCAGCCTGCCCGGGTTGTAGAGGCAGCCGTGCTGAATTCAGGGGAGGGTCTGCCTTCTGCTGGGTGAGCAGGCCTGAGGCAGGCAGAGACACTGCGGGCAGCCCCTGGGAGACCTGGCCCTCCTCCCCCAGGCTCTCTGTTGGAAGGGCAGCAGGAGTGGGTCATCTGGTCCACCCCCTTGTCTTTCAGCCAGGGGAGGGGGTGGGACCTGCCCCAGGGTCTCCCAGAGCTGCAGCCCGTTAGCAGAACCATTGCTAGCCCCCGTGAGTGGCCACTAGGTAGGGGCAGGACTTGTTCTTAGGAAACCTGCTGGGCTCTGGGGTCCCTGTTCCCCATCATGCTGCCCCAGGGCCAGGAGCTGGGTGGGGACCCCTAAGCACGTGACCCAGGTGGGCGAAGTCAAAAGGGACCTCAGAGAGCCCTCCACCCCAGGACTACCCACTGTCCACGTGTGGCTCCCGGGCCCCGGGCTCCCCGGCGCTGACACCCACTGTGCCTGGCCCTGGGCGAGGACGCACGTGTTGGGTGCTGGGTGGCCTGGGCGGTTCCACCCCCGGATGTGGTCAGGGACCTGTTTCTCAGACGAGGGCGCTGAGGCTGAGACGGAGGGGGACATGGTCAGGGTCCCCCAGCAGAAGTCCACAGGGTTGGGTGGGCTGAAATCTGGGATCTGGGGCCAGCTGACGTGGGCAGATCCTCCAGCTCTGACTGGCGGGGAGGGGGTGGGCGGAGCCAGGACAGGAGCCCAGCAGCCCCCCAGGGACCAGGGTGGGAGGCCCCAAGGGAGGGGGAGGAAGAGGCAGAGAGAGAGACTCTGGGAGAAATGCCAAGTTTTACTTCCGTGCTGGGGACGTCGAGGCCCAGAAGGAAGGACTCTGCCCCAGTACCACGGAGTCGGGGGGAACAGGGGACAAGAAGCCCAGCCCTGACCCCAGCCGGGGCCTCATCTGCCCACTCCAGGGAGGCTCCCAGGTGCTCTGCTGTCCTGGGGGGACTCCAAGGAGGCTGCCCGGCAGGGGCAGGCCAGGGGGCGAGGGGGAGGCCCTGGAGCTGCATCCCACCCACTAGGGCCCAGCAGGGTCCAGCCCCCCTCACAGGTCCGGGGGCAGCCTCTTGGCAGTGAGGCTGCCTCCCCCTGCCGATCCGATGATGCCCCTGTCACTTCGCACACCGGGAGCCTCGGGGGAGGCCCATTGGCCGCCACCTGCCAGGCTCTAGCCCTGAGCCCTGAGCACCCGCTGCGGGGGAGGGGCTGGGCTGCTGCCTGTGGGAAGGGGCTCCACGCTCACACACCAGACGCACTCGGAGGCCTGGGACCGGGGGAGCAGGAGGGCCCTTCCCCCAGCCCAGGGAGGGGGTCCCACGGGAGCCCGGCCCACTGGCCAGTCCTGTTTTCCTTGTACAGACTCACTGCCCACGCGCCATCCCCAGACACGTTTTATTTAATAACTTGTCATTGTTAAATTATTTATTAGCGTTTACCATATCACCGCCCCGCCCCGCCCTCCACTCACCTTCCGCCTCTTCCCACAAACGCAGAAAATGGAACCAACCACGGGACAAGCCGAGACGTCGTGTATTTGTAAATAAACCAACCTGTACGCGCCCGCGCCCGTGGTGCCTCTCCTTGGGGGGCGGGGCAGGGGGCGGGGCCTGCGAGCCACACTGGCAGGTATCTTGGTGGCCACCAGGGAGGAGGGAGGGCATGGGGTTCAAGTCTTGCCGCACCCATCCCATAATCCTCATCTCCCCCATCCATCCTGAGCCCTGAACCCTCTCCGGCCTTTGATCCCTTCATCCCCTCTCCGTTTCACCCTGTCCCCCTGCCCATCACTCATTCATTCATTCCTGTGGCCAGCTGGTCTTTGTGAAGGGCCCCCCAAGTGCTGGCCACCAGGCTGAGAACTGGGGCTCCGTGGCTCCTGCCTCAGGTAGGCGGACAGTGTGAACTGAGCTCAGCTGAGGTCCAGTGAAGCCTTGCCATCGCCCTGTCTGGGAGAACAGGACATCGTGGAAGGCTTCCCGGAAGAAGTGGTGTATTAAACTGAGACCTGGCTCAGTGGGGACCCAGAGTGGGGAGGGCTGTCTGGATGTGTCCTAGGCTTGTGCACGGGTGGGGGCCGGCGTTCAGCGTGGTGGTTCAGATGCGGCTTGGGATGCCTGCACCCCGTATCAGCACGTCTGGGTGTGCGACCTGGTTCTGCTTCTGACTCCGGTTTCCTACTAACGCTCGCCTTAGGAGGCACCCAGGTGGCGGCTGAAACTGTTGGGTCCCTGTCCACTCACACAGAGACCTGGACGGAGTTCCCAATGCCTGGCTCCAGCCTGCCCGGCCCTAGCTTGTTGGAGGCACAGGGAGAACAAGCCAGCGGGTGGCAGCTCTCTCTCTCCTTTCTCTGAACGGCTCAAATAAATAAAAGCAGAACCGAGAACCTCGCGGGCAGGCTAAATCTTGTACCTCTCCCATCCACAAGGAGAACTGAGACTGGAGGCAGGAGAGATGCGCCGAGGTGGGGGCAGGACTGGGTCTGCGGGGACGGGAGGGCTGGGTGGAGGTGAGGGGGTCGGCTCATCACCTGAGTGAGAGGTGACCACGAGGAGGAAGAAGGGGACAGAGCCCAAAGACCTCAGTGAGGGGAGTCCAGGCGGCATCTGGGTCCCCGGGTCCCTGGGCTGGGGGGCAGGGGGATAAAGATCTGGCCCCGGGAGGGTGAGCCGGGCATCTCCGGAGGGTCCCAGCAGAGGGTCCCTGCGGTGCAGGGCAGGCAAGTGCACCCTGGGGAACGCAGAGCGGAGGTGGAGCCCTGGTGACCTGGGGAGCCCTGGCTGTGGGGTCCGGGGGGCTGGTGCGAGGGGTGCTGGGGTGGAGATGGTCGTCGGTTCTCAGAGGACGTTGCTTGATGTCTCGAGGGTCCTCCGAGTCCCTGGAGGGCAACCCCAGTGCGCGCGTGCGTGTGTGTACACGCGTGTGTACCTGTGCAGTGGCGGGTTGGGTTGCCAGCCGGGCAGCTGATCCACACAAGGGTATGCGTGCTTCGTCTGTGCATGTCTGTGCGTGTCTGTGCATGCCGTGTGTGTCCTGTCTCCCCCCCACCCCCACCCTGTGCTACATGTCAGCCTTCCACACCCCTGTGGCCGCGTCACCCCAAGGCTTCGTCTGCCCCGGGACGCCTGCGCCCCCTAGGGGCGGGCTCCGTCCTGCGCCCTCTCCTGGCCTCACTGTTGGAAGCCTCGGGGTGACCCCCAGAGCTGCCTGGGCTGCCAGGGGCGGAGAGATGCTGGAAACCTCCAGGTCATTTCCTCGCTTGCACCCCAACAACCCCGAGAGGCAGAACCCCAGGTCCGTAGAGCAAGCCGAGGCCTAGAAGCCAGAGTCACCAGCTCAATATGCCAGAGCTAACCTGAGGCAGCAGGACCGCGATTCGAAAGCAGCGTTGGCTGCAGACCCGCGGCCTCACCTCTGCCCCAGGAGGCCCTCGAGCTCAGGCCCAGGGGCCGGGGGCGAAGCAGCGCTCTCCTACCTTCAGCGCGCCTCATGGTGGCTGCGAGATGTGAGGCCAGCCAGCACCCAGGCAGGACCCTAGGGGCTGCCAGCATCCGAGCCGGGGTCTGGGCTGTGTGAGGGGGCCCCCACACCCCACCCCTCCCCGGCATTGCTCAAACTCCTGTCACTCCAAAATGTGGGGGCAGTGCTCATCCGTTTCACTCCGTCACCTGCCTGTCTCCCGGCCCAGAGGTGTGGCATTGGGAGGAGGCAGTGGGTGGAGGCTCTGGGGACTGGAGAGGGCCTGAGACAAGGCCGGACCGAAACAGGACCAATGCTAGCCCATGCCTGCCACTGGCAGAGGTCAGCTCACTGACCCTCCAAGCCACTGGATAGCCCATTGCACAGATGAGCAAACCGAGGCTTAGAGAGAAGAATTTGGCTCCAGGGTGTCGGATCCAGGAACTTGGTGTTGCAGAGGGCCCCGTAGCAGTTGAACAGGGACATGGGGGTTGTGTGGGAGGAGCATGACTCTGAGCCCACCCTACACCGCCTGTCTTCAAGGGGTCTGAGGCCTGGGGAGAGGGACACAGCCCCCAGCCCTGCCCCTGGGGTCCCTGGCAGCCAGCAGCCCCTGCAGACTCCCCGAGGGCCCTCAGCTCTGGACTGGAGAAGGCTGGCTGTGCCCAGCAGGTGCACAGAGCCGACCTGGGCTCGGATGGGCGTGCGCGGTGCTCCGAGTTCTGCTTGTTCCTGGGAGCCCCGTGGGGCAGGATGAATTCTGTGCATGTGGCAGTCCCCATGGCTCCTCCCGGGAGTGCCGCTCTGCCCCACGTGCCCTGGCCAGCTTCTGAGTGTCCCCGACTCCACGCCAGGCCCTGGTGGACAGGGAGACCCTCTGTCGGTGGCCTTGACTTCAGAGCAACCCCTGGAGCTTGGCTGGAGAAGAGAGGCTTCCCACATCGCTCATCTCTCTGCTCTCCCTGCCCCTGGCCCGGCAGACCCTGCAGACCCCAGCCCGCCTGGGCACAGCATAGGAAGGAATGGTAAGAAAGGCATACGTATAGGATGCCAAAGGAGGCAGGGGCTCACCGGCTGTGCCCAGGGCAATCAGGGAAGGCCTCCTGGAGGAGGGGGCATTTGAGCTGAGCCTCCAAAGATGGGCCAGGCTCGGTCGGGCAGTGAGGAGCCCCTGCGACCCCACTCGCCGGTTTTGCTGGGAATCAAGTGGGCGCTCTGTGGGACATGGATACGGCCCCCCGTTTCCGTGCCGGCTCAGGTCCCTTCCACGAAATATATTTGCATAGATCTGGCGACACCGTCCTGTGTTAGCTGCCACCTCCGGCTGGCTTACCACGCCTCCCAGGAGCAGTGGCAACAGCCGAGCCTGCACGCGGCCAAGCCTGCACGCGGTCAGCAGGGTCGCGGCTTTTTTGGGAACGTGTTCGTCTCTGGGTGCAGAGGCCCAGCTGTGCGAGTCCGCGGCCCGAAGAGAAACCCACGCAGACACCGCCGCGCCCACACACCAGATCCGGGCTTTCCCTGGCTGCTCCTTCTCTGTTTTGTCTTTCACTTGTTTGAGAATCAGGGAGACAGAGAGAGACAGCAAGCGAGCACTCCCATCCATTGGTTCACTCCCCACGGCCGGGACTGGACTAGCATTGAAGCCAGGAGCTGGGCACTCAACCCAGGTCCCCACGTGGGTGCCTGCCACCCAAGCCAGCACACTGTCACGGGGGGGGGGGGGGGGGTCTGTATTGGCCGGAAGCAGAGGCAGGAGCTAGATCTGAGCCCCCAGCCCAGGGAGCAAACATGAGGCGCAGGCGCCCTACCTGCCACACCCAACACCTGCCCCCTGTCCTGGGAGCCCCTGGGGGCTGGCACCAGGGTCCCCTGGAGCTTGGAGCTCCTCATTTGCGAAACACCCAAATGGCATCGGCAACGATGACACACAGGAAACGTTTGCCACAAGATCAGGAGGCCCTGGTGCATCTCCACCCTCGGGGCATCTCCGCGTGGGTTTCCGTGGGCAGCACCCACGCCTGGCCACCCTGGTCAGAGTGCCATGCGCTTTGCGGCTCGACTGACCAGGAGCTGCTTGCGTGTGGCTCCTACAGCTGCAGTCACTCGTCAGGCCACCAGGTGGCGATCGGGAGTCAGGCAGGCGTGGGCCCCGCTGCGCTCAGAGAGGTGCGGGTTGCGCTGGGGAAGATGGACCCTTCTCTGAGGCTGGGGCTGCGTGCCAGGTACTGGGTGGGTGCCCTCCTCAGGGGCCCCCAGGGCTCCCCACCGCAGCCCTAAGAACTAAGGGCGAGCACTCCCACCTTCCAGAACAGGAGAGTGGCTCAGAGATGTTAAGTCACCTGCCTGAGGCCACACAGCCAGGAAGTGGCAAGCCCGGGTCTGGCCTCTGAAAAACGAGGCCAGGTGAGAGGCCGGTGGGTGGAATAAAAGTCACAGCAACCTGGCCTGGGCACTTGCTGCACTCCAGCCCCTCTCCCTGACTCCTCCTACCCACCCATTTCACTGACAGGGAAACTGAGCTCCAAGGAGTCTAAAAGCCGAGGGAGGCTGCTTATCCACCATGGCCCGGCCCTGTGAGCCCAGAGGGAGGACCCCACACTCCCTGCACCCCCCAGCCCCGCCGCCCCTGCTTCCCTCTGAGTGGATGCCAGCAGGTGTGGCCCCGCCCCGGTCCCAGGCTGGCCTCAGCTTCCCCAGGACCACCTCTAGGCACCTGTCGGGGGGCCTCCTGGACCAGAGTGAGGTCCTGTCCACCCTCTAATGTGCTGCCCCCATGCATGCTTCTGGAGCACAAGTCATGGCTGAGAGCCCCTGCCCGGGGTCTGGGCTGCAATCTGACCATTTCTGTCCCTGCGACCCACCTACCGGCCATGGCAAGGTGTGCCACCCCCGACAAGGTCAGGGGCTTCCAGGAGCCATTTCCTGTGAGGCCAGCCTTCCGTTCCTGCTTCTCTAGGGCCAGTGGGTGGCAGAGAGGGGAGCGACACCTGGGCGGTGCGTGGGCCTGGGGGCCATGCCAATGGATGCGTCAAGGCGTGGGCAGTGGGAGACTAACCCCGTCAGTCAGCCAGGCCTGGGCCCTGTGGCTCCAGTATCCATTCC